CAGGAAAGGGATGTTCCTGATGAGATCGTTCCTTACAGGGGTTGAGGAAATCTCAGGTTCAGGAAGAATGTCTCAGGGAAAATATCACTGCTGACAAGAAAGGGTTTTATCACGAATCAGTGCAGTGAACAGTAACAAGAGATGATGCTCACTCAGGACTTCAGAGGCAGCTCACATACGAAACTGTTCAGCTGCTGAGTGAGCTTGGTAAGTGCTACTTAAATCACCATGGTGCCAGAGCTATGGGAAAGTGCAATCAAACTTTAAAAAGGATGCAGGATGAGCAATTGTGTTTCTTCCATACACTCTGTTGAAAGAAACACTTAATAGGAGTAGTAGACTCAGGGACAAATATATATGTTGGTGCTGAGTCAACGTAGCTCTCATAGAGCCTGCAATACAATTTCCTAGGGGTCTCTGAAGAAGCCTGTGATGATCCAATGCAGTTGTGTTCACTGGACAGCCCCCACTGTGGTATAGGGAGTGAGTTGCAACGTGTTGTAGCCTTTAGGGATGGAGAGGGCCAACAGACCTTAATGAGGCCTGACTGGCCTCATGTGGGGTCCATTTAAGCTTAGGCCTTGGCTTTTGCTCACTGTTTGGGCTACGTCATAGGAGCTTATATCTTCGATCTAGTCTTAATACCCCTCCAGGACCTTGGATGTGTGTTATGTCCTTGTTTTTAGTTTTGTCTGTACCTTCAGCCTCTGGATGCACTTCAACAGCATGTCAAATTGGCTGTACTGAGAGACTGCTGTAGCCATAGCTCCTAGGGAGCCCCCCTTATGGAGTAGCCCTTTTCTGGCTGCTCCCCTCTGGCCCATTTGTCTTGGTTCTCTTTCAAGGCAAATCAGGGGAAAGGGCAATGGCCTATGTTGTGAAGTTAAAGTGGAGCCAGGACAGAGCCAGAGGAGTATACTTTTGAGTTCTGCAGTATAAGCTTACCAAAACCTTTTAGGAGGACTCATCAATAAAACAAACCTGAAGATTTAAGAATCCTTTAGAGAAAATGGTGCAGGTAAATGGTTCATTTTCCTAATGGGCCATCAGAGCACTTCAGAAATCTACCATGGCATCTGTATGCATAATCTGTAAGTATATGGAGAAGGTGAATAGTGAAGTAACAAGACTGCAGAAGCTAAACTCCAGTTTTGAGAGGGTTCAGGCTAAAACTGATGCATCACTTCTCAGCACAGATTACAGGACAGAGTTTTCATGCCTGCAAGCATTCTCTGCAGTTAGTGGTTGGTGCTGAGAGAGGGATCAAAGGAGTTAACAGGCTATGAGCGATGATGGGGAGTTCCTGACTGTTTCTGGAAATATGTCCCACTTGCACAAATGGCAAACCACTAGAGAGCAGCATTAAATCAGGGCTTTCGTTTCGTGTCTGAACAACTTTTACATAAAACAATGCATTTGTGTGATGTTTGCAGTTGGACACTGGTTTCAGGTCAGGATTTACAGAACCAGGGCAGCTATAGACAAGCCAGTCCCATCTGGCTCAGTCTTTGGGTATGTAGATACTCAAATACTGAAATCAACCTTTGTAAATTGTCTCCAGGAACCCAACTTCCCCCATGCATCAAGTTAAAAAGCTATAGTAGTTCTCTTCAGCATACAGCTACTTCCAAAACCAAGTTAGCTGTGAAAGCTTCTGTTGAGTCTTGTCTCTCGCCATCATCTCAGGTTAAGGCTCACTGACATATGTAGTTATCTCCAGAGTAGGGTCTGTGGACTTGCACCTCTCCTTTCTAACATTGTGGTATCATTCTGGCACTGGAAAGGTAAAAGGTAAGTGGTGGTAAAATAGCAGGGATCACACTGTGCAGGAGTGGTTTAGGAGGAACAGAGTCCAAATACAATTTCAACATAGTTCAGTATTTTCACTGGAGACTTTTTCTCTCAAAGAATAAATCTTTCTTTTAAATAAAAACATACCTAAAATGTGGAAATATGTCAATATACGCAATGGCCTAAGATGCTGAAAAGTACACCTCAATTGATTAATTATATTAAAATTAGCATTCAAGTATTTATGTATCAAGAGTATACTATGCTCAGTAGTAACCTTTTCTATGAAATGTTTGCTTTTGCTGCCTGGTAACTGGGACAAAATAAGGACCAGGGACCAGATTTACAAAATCTTATTTTTGTGATTTTGACCTTTTCTGCAAAAGCCAAAACATTTTTTGCACTTTATCAAGGTCAATGATTTAATTATTCTAAACTGATTACCTGACTGACAACTGAAAAGCAAGAAAGCTCATTTTCTTCTCCCAGTCGTTAATGAAGTATGAATTGCATAGTTTCAGTAATCCTAGCATCCTGAAAGACACAATATCTGTAAACAGATAACTCTTAAATAACATAATTTTAAACGCAAAGGAGGTTTTGTGTATGTTTTTACTGTTTAACTCTTTTCAGCCTGTTATAGTGTAGTATAATACCTTCATTTAATGGCTACAAAGTTATTTTAAAATGCTCTTCAGCAGAATATTGACGAACGTTGAGGGTGGATAGGGAGGGGGAACCCCAGGCAAGAGGCTTCCTTTTACCCCTATCTCCAGGGGGGAGCGGTGCTCCCTTCCCCTCGCCCCATCACGTGGCGTCCCATGGCTCTCTGAGAGTCCACAGGACACGGCAGCTTCAGGCAGGGAGTGGTCAGAGAGAGCGTTTATTGTTCTGGTAACTGCTTAAGTACCTTTGAGGGGGATTACAATGTAACCAGTGGGGGTCGGGTCCAGGAGGTCTCACAAACAACCGATGACAATAAGGGGTTAACAACCAATAGGGAGACTTTCACTGGATACTTAGACAGTCACACAGCCATTCACTCTCCTGAGTTTTGGGTCCCTTGAGGTTCCTTTGCTCTAATGCTTTAGCCAGGGAAGTGCCTCTGTACTTTCTCATTATGGAAAAGCCATGGGACATACTAGTCCCATCATTTCTGATGATACCTATTACTGATATAGGAAAAAAACCCTTATTTAAACACAGGTGTTTTGTCTAACTTCATCATTTAACATTTTGCCAAGAAGTACTTGGATTACATGGTGACAGATGCCCATTCTCTAACTAAAGCAAGCATCACTAAGAATATGATAAACATCATACTAAAATTTCTAACCAATGGCAGTGATAAAATATCTGGCAGATCAGAGACAGTGTGGCTAATAATGAGAAATGCCAAAAGACAATGTAAGAAAAGGCATATGGGAGAAGGAATGCAAGGTACAGCTGTGTAATCAAATTATTTGGATAGATAATGAGAACAAGACCTGAACATTATTTGGCTAAAATATTGAAGCAGGCAACTGTGGACAAGCAGCATCAAAAAGGAAATTTGCATTTGTGAGACAACTTCTGATAATGTGTTATCAGGTGATATGAGACTTTGGTCTATTAATTAGCCTTGAAAAATACCCAGTTGTTTCTGGTAGTCAGGAAAATTAATTAAACCATGGGATAAATCCCTTGATTCGAGTTTGGGGGTTTTTCTCCATGAAATGGATATGCAAAACTGGCAGAACTTCAAAGGGCCCTCCCATTCCTCCTTGCTTCACTCCTGCAGTGATCCAGCTCCAGGCTCTGCACAGTGGAACAGGTCGTCTTCTCTTGCTTCTACTGCTTAATAACTTCTCTCTCCTCTGTCATTTTGTGATGTATAGCATCAGGAATATGCTCCTGTGACTCCTGTCTCTCTTTTGAACCCGATCTTGAATAGACACAGAGGTTGCTTGGAACTGTACAGGAGGAGCTCTGGTTAACCATTAAACATATCTGAGGACTTCTGAACTTCATCCTCTGATCAGCCAAAGAAAAATGGGCTTTCTATGTCTGCACCTCATCTTGCAGTATAATCTACGTGGAAACTATAACTGTAGATGAATTGAGGAAGTCACATAAATGTAGAATATTCTAGAAATTTTATGAGCAAACTATTAATAGGGTAAAATGAAAATATTAGTAGCAAAGCTTTACATAATATCAGCTAAAATTTTCCTAGTAAAGTACTCCATAATAACAAAGGACCAGCCCATACATCTCTCTGAAAAGGCACTCTCTGCCATCTCAGTTTGCTGTGAACCACATAGGTTTCTCAAAAATTTGTCTTTGCAGGCAATTCCAAAGGTTTTCTTGCTTATTTCCTAAAGATCTGATACAGCAAATCCTTAGGATTTTCTATAGTATCTCATTATTTGTGCAGGGGCTGAAGCTGGAAGGAGAAAGCAAGCTAAGCCTGCCTATGGTGGTGGTCATGTGTCTGCAATATGAATATTCCCATTCTGTGGCTTACTCTTACAGTGTAGGATTTTCTAGAATTCATCCTGTCTTTCTAGTCTTGTTTCTATTCATGGACATCAAAGGAAGGAGGGCTTCCCAGAAGGTGGAAAGCCAAAACTCTGTGAGCTGGTGGTTTTATTTATTTATAAGTTCCATAAAGACATACAATCGCTGTCAGTGGTGATTATATTGCAAGATACTGTATTGGAAAAACAATTTCAATCAACAATCAGATTCATCTCTGACTCCAGCAGATTTCTAGTGCTCCTGGCTAGCAATACCTGGCTGAGAGCTGTGCACAGAGGGGACCAGCTTGTAGATGGGCTCTGCAGAGCAGGGTGGCTCCTGGCAGCAAGCTAGGGAATTACTAGAACAGGTAATGTCTATGGATCAAAGAGTTCCTTGAGACTGAGTTTTGCTGCAAACAGACTGCTACCAGATATCCTTGCCTTGGTCAGCCAGTGAGGGGACCTACAGCAGCTCAAGGGTTCTTCTTAGAATTAAAGATGAGTCACTTCAAGGTTATGGAATTTTCTTTCCTATTGCTCCACTTCCTCTGTTTTCTAAAGATAAATAAGAAATGAGAGCCTGGAAATTCTCTTGAGAGATCCTGCAGCTTGTTTGTTTTGTAAAAATACTTCTTGTTATCTAATTTTGTTACACTTGTTAACAACAGCAGCAGCTTTCCCATAAAACTTGCCCCAAGCAAACTAACCACAACTTTGAGAACTGAGCTGCAGAGCAGAGAATATCATCTGGGAAACTTGAAGATGAAGTACTTTCTTCTGCCAGCTCATTTAGCATTTCTCTATAGCTTTGCCCTAAGTAAACCTGTCCAGGTGTGTCGCTGCTCTGAGATATTGAGAATTTACATTGCTGCTGCTGAGTTGCTCTATCTTAAAATTACTTACAAACTTCTACCACTGTGATTCTACATGGTAGAAGTTTTCTGCTGTGGAGATGAGCATGTATTAAAATATATGCTTTTTTTTTCAGATAGCTACAAGAAACAATGACTTAGGTGAGTTTGATTGTAATTATTATATAAATAACTGCAGGTTTGGGGGGGCTGGATCTGTATACCTCAGCATCATTATTTGGTACATTTTTCTCTTTGAAAATGTTTCTCAGCATCAGTGGAAGGCAGTTCATAGAATTCAAGTGTGTTTTAAAGTCAAATTCAGTGTAATTATTTATGCTGTTGGGATAAAGAAATTAAGACTTACAGAGCAATTGCTACGTGAAATGTTCTTTTCTATATGTAGCATCAGCAAATCAGAATATTTTTCACTTTGTTTTCTTCTCTATGTGATATATAGCAGTTCCCTGTCTGCTATACCCAAGACTATTGTACTTTTTTTGGCCTAATAACTCATAGCTCTTGTCTGTGAGAAATGTATTCCAAGTATTTTGGAGTCAGAATTGAGGTGGATGTCACAATGTCTTATGTCAAATTAACAGTTAACCTGGAAATTAATAGCTTTCATGCATTCAATACGCATGATAAAAATAGTAATTTCTTTTGTATGATTCATCCCATTTTTACAGAGGTCAGTTATGATTTTTCTTTAATTCCACAATCTCTAATAAAGAGAACAATGACTTATAATACTTAGCAGTCCCCTCAAAGCTTCCAAAGCTTCTTAAGCTAAAATATATTTAGTCAGGACTTTGATTACAGCTGCACTATGACATCTATATTAATATTAAACTTTTCTACCCAGGAAGCAAGGCAAACCCAACCAGCTTAGCATACTAATCCTTTCTCACATTATTAGGAGATGAACTTCAGTGAAAGAAATTTCCAAAAGCTTGGTTAGTGTGTGCCTCTTGTCTCCCTTTTTTACTTGTATTTGCCTTCTCAGTGCCTTGTATGTTCTTTATCTTCTTCATCTGCCAGGTAGTGAAATAGCTGTGTATGAGGGAGACATCCTCTTGAGAAGAGGACGACGCAGTGCAATTAACTGTGAGAGTTGTTTATGGCCCAAGTCACAAGATGGACTAGTCAAGGTTCCAGTTAACATCTCTTCTGATTTCTGTGAGTGTATGCAAATGGATGCTGTAAAGTTAGCGTTGATCTTTCAGTCCCTATACTCCTTCTTGTTTTATTTTTCTGTAGCATGCACCAAAAGCAATCTCTGCACAAGTCAGAGTTTCCTGACACATCTCGTTTGCTGTCCTGTTAGCCCTGTGGTATTTTGGCTAAGACTCCAAACATTTCAGTTACAAGACACTAAAATATGTGGTTACTTGGGCCGTAGTCAGCTTATTAATTGTAATTTCAAATATTAGCCCATTCCTACCCATTTGAAATTGTAATTTCAAATATTAGCTCATTCTTGCTAGCTACAATGCACTTTGATATTTAGCAAGAAGAGAAGAAAAAGCCTAATTTATTCACATCATGAATGTATTTTTGTCAATCTACCACTAGGAGCCCTTTTTTGAACTCTATAATTTTCTTTCAAATTTTTCATGGAAATATTCCCACACTAGAAACCCTGTAGAGGCAAAAATGGAAGAAAATCCTTGGAGATATTTTTTCCTTTGTTAATTCCTTCTAGTCAGTCAATAACTCTGTCCTGTGCAAAAGACTGCAGGAGTGATGCCTTAATCTGGACTGGGGCTTCCATACAGACCCTTCTTAAAAGATCTTACCCTGAGAGAAAATGGCATGGAAGTGAAATACAGCCTGTGCCTGATTCCCGTTCCTCAGGGAAAGGAACTGAGAAAGCCCAATCTCTGCGTTATCTGGTCTGCTTCCCTGCCCATGTGCTTCCAGAACTGCAGCATATTCTCTTGTGGTTAGGTATTTCCCTCTCTCCGAACTTGTAAGTATTAGGAAATTGAGATACAAATCAGTCATAGATGACTCATAACTAAGGAAGCCAAATTAGGCCAAAATGTTCCAAAGTAGATAAACACTCTGATCTTTATTTGGTAGCTGAATAGAAACACTGTGATCTTCTGAGCCTTGGCTGTCTCAAGTGATTCCAAAGGGGCTGTGGCAGGCATTTTTTGTTTCTGATAAACAAAATAAGGTTTTGGTGCTTAGCTACAGTCAACTGGCTCATTTGGGATATTTTAATCCAATTATTTATATCTCAAACTGTCTCCTTTCTTCTGTTCTGTCTAATGGAAGAAACAATGTAAGTCTTTTGCTTTCCATCTGGTCTTTACTATAGAATATGCATATGGGATAGCTGTAATTCTTATACCTCCTCTTAAAAGTCCAATCAGCTTGAAGATCTCTGAATCTTTTTTGCTTTTTACCCTTTTTTTACTATACTTCTAAAATAAAAAGCTAAAAAATGCTGTGAAGTTTTAATAGAATCACCCCATCAATGCACCCTGGTTTGGATTAACCAAGAAAGATTTCTCCTGTCCCCATTCTCTTTCTAGCAATAACAGAGAGGTCTTGGATAGCTGATGCTCTGCAAGAGATCTCCACACTGACGTGCGTGCAGTTTGTAAATCGCACTACAGAAACAGACTACGTGTATGTTGAACGTGGGCAGAGGTAAGCTCCCTGTCTTCTGAGAGTGGAAGCACTCAAAAGATCTTTCAGATTCCTTTCTGTTTTGTTCTGGACTTAAGGAATTGCCTTTTTTTTTTTTTTTAATCTTAGAAGTAAAGATTCAGAGAGCAGGTGCAATTTTTCATTTTTCTTCAGATATACTGGTAGTTACATCAGTAACTGCAGGAATAAATGTGCATGTGGACTTAAAAGTAACAGAGTATAATTCAAAATGAAACATTTTCCTTAATTGCTGTAAAAATTTTATCTCATGCCAGTGACTATTTGCATGTCCCCTTCTGTGGCTGCATATCTAAAGGACCTTGGTGACATAAACAGTACATCTAAATATTTGTATTTGCTGAATATAATAATTTTGGTTATTGACTGCCTATTCATAGCTGCTGGTCTTACTTTGGAAAAATTGGAGGACGTCAAGCAGTAGGCCTGGTGAAAAATGGTTGCATGGATAAGGGAGCAATTCAGCATGAAATGAACCACGCGCTGGGTTTCATCCATGAACAGGCACGGAGTGATCGGGACAGGTTTGTCAAGATTATGTGGGAACACATAGTGGCAGGTAGGTCCACTAAATCTTAAGAGAAAATATATACTTTCAGATAAAGGAGAATGTTTCTCCTGTGAACAACAATGCAAATAAGAATCATGATTTATACTGGCTGAATTGCAGCAGCAGCACATTCAGTGTGATGGAATTTCTTGTTCAGTGTTTGTACTAGGGGAATTTCTGTGGCTACACCTATGGTAGTGTAGAAGATACAGCCTAAAAGTAGCTCTACATTCTTATTGTGATTGCCATCTTGAGCCCAGACTTCAAAATACCGAGATTATCAGGAATGCAAAACGTTATTGATAAGACTTGGCCAGAAGGTGAGACTGTAAGACTCTTAACTCTTTACTGGGTGAGACGTGACATTCGAGATTACGGTGGGGAATCATGCAGCAACTCTGTGCTGGGGAAAACCATGGAAATAGGGGAAGACAGCAAGTAGACATCTTGGCACTGGCAGTGAGTGAAATGCACATATCCTAAAATGTATATGAACGAGGGACTTGATGCTGAGACAGTGGAAGCACATGCAACCACTAGCATGTGCAAAATTCTGGGACCTGGTGTGATGTGAAAGGAAAGACTGCAATTATTTCCTCCTTGTGGACAGAATAATACACTTCCATGAAAAGAAGGAGCCATGGGGAGCAATCAGGATAGGTAAATCTGTAGAGGAGAAACAAGTGGATGTTATTTAGGGAAAGGAAAGCAGGATGAATAGTTTGGGCAGGTGTCCATGATCAGTGTGCTGGAAACATGGGCTTATATTCACAGCTCCAGGACCTGGGGAATAAAGGGTAGAGAGAATGGCAGGAGATCAAAGAGAAAGTGAGAAAGTGGTACACTGAAGGAAAATAGCAGAAGAAAGTGTAGAGGGAATCACTTATCTCTCACTTAGCTGTGAGAGAGCTGGACAACCCAAAACAATTGTAAAACTAAAAGAATGTATTTAGTTCATTATAGAAAATAATAGTAAATGAGGTTGGACAATCGAATACCAAATTCTCATATGCCTCTTCAACAAATGAGATATTCAGCTCTTCAATGTCAGGCACAGCGGAAAATATATCTATCTTTTTCTCCAGACAGAACTTGATTGTTTTTATTGAAAATTCCTAACACACTGTTCTCCAAATTTTTTTCAGCTATTCCCATGATGTCCTGAGTAAATTCCATTTGTGCTGTTCTTTATGATATTTCAGCTCTAGTGTTAAGGTATAATTTTCCTGTGAGTTGTTTGAAATTGTACAAGGGTGTGCCATGTTTTAAATGCCAGCAAAGGATATACTAGAAAAGAGGAATTGAAAACATTAAGTTATATATATTAGACACACAGAATCTTACACTAGTTTTGCAGAGGGAAGTCCACAGGTGCAGATGTCATAATTTCTGAAGGATAGAGAATCACAGAATAGGCTGAGTTGGAAGGGACCCACAAGGATCATCAAGCCTTGATGATCAACCCCAAGACTCACACCATGTAACTGAGACTATCATCCAAACACTTCTTAAACTCTGTTGGGCTTGGTGCTGTGACCACTTCCCTGGGGAGCCTGTTCCAGTGCTCAGCCACTCTCTGGGTGAAGATCCTTTTTCTAAACCCAACCTAAACCTCCCCGACACAACTTCAGGCCATTCCCTCGGGTCCTGTCACTGGTGTCCTCCAGGCTGAACAGACCAAGTGACCTCAGCTGTTCCTCATACAGCTTCATCTCAAGACCCTTCACCATTTTCACTGCCCTCCCTTGGACACTCTCTAATGGTTTAATGACTTTCCTATATTGTGGTGCCCAAAACTGCACACAATATTGAAGGTGAGGCTGCACCAGTGCAAAGCAGAGCAGGACAATCCCCTCCCTTGACCAGCTGGCGATGCTTTTCCTGATTCCCCCCAGGACATGGTTGGCCCTCCTGGCTGCCAGGGCACTGCTGACTCAGATTCAATTTGCCATCAACCAGGACCCCCAGGTCTCTTTCCACGGCACTGCTTTCCAGCATCTCATTCCCCAGTCTGTACAAACATCCAGGGTTGCCCCATCCCAGCTGTAGAATCCAGCACTTCCCCTTGCTGAACTTCATATGGTTGGTGATTGCTCATCTCTCCAATTTGTCGAGGTCTGTCTGCAGGGCCTCCCTGCCTTTGAGAGACTCAACAGCTCCTCACAGTTTTGTATCATCTGTAAACTTGCTTAGTATCCTTTCCAGTCCCATGTCCAAGTCATTCATGAAGATGTTGAAGAGTACAGGAGCTAAGATAGAGCCCTGTGGAACCCCACTAGTGACAGGTCACCAGTCTGATGTCACTCCATTCACTGTTACCCTCTGTGCTCAACCACTGAGCCAGATGTAACCAAGCTCTGATTCAGGCACAGTATCATGAAAAGATAAATGAGGGGAAAGAGGTAAAGGAGATGGAGATGGGTATATCTTCAGTGTTTTAACAGTGTTCACCATGGGTGGAGAATGAGATGATTTGTGTGACAAGGGATTAGAATGCAGAGTGTATGCAGCTCAAGCACTGTAGGGAAAAAATGCAAAGATATAAAGGGAAAAGGAAATAAAGAAACACAGTTATGTTCACGAGGACTGTTAGTGTACATCTTCTGTAGAAACATGCTGCTGTTAACAGTGCTCATAGCAGAGCTCCTCCTGACCTTGGTGGTGCAGAACTAGACCTCAAGACCTTTTGCAGCTTCCCAGTTCTCTCACACAAGCTGTTCTTTTGCCAGGACTTCCGTGCTGTGGATGTTTTCTGGATTTTGTTTTTATCCAGTAATTTACCTTGGAAACCATCCTCCTTCTTTGTTTTGACAAAATGCAGCCTGATCGGTTGCTGTCCACTTAGCTACTTGAAACTCAGCTTGTTTTTCTCAAACTTTTTTTGAAAAAAAATATATTCAGAAGAGTCACACTTAGATTCTGTCAGATGCAGATTTTTTTTTATTTTTTTTTTTTTAGAATGGGAAAGAGAGGTTAAGTCCCCACACATGTGCAGATCTAAACAGCCAGATCTCTCTGGCATGTGATGAGGGAGATAGTTGTTTTCTGGCAGCACCTCAGTCCAGTCAGGATGCCATTACTTTTTCTTTATTTAGCAAATCAATTCAGCAAAGCACTTCTGTGTCAAACAGTAGCCACGTGCTCAAAGGCATTTGAACTGTGTTCTCTGTTCATCACCTCAAAAGAAGCTGTGCACTTGCTGATAATTCTTTCTGAAGTCAGTACAGCAGATAAGAGGAACTGAGGTTAAAACACAGTCAGAAGGGCCAATGTTGTTGAGAAACAGTTTAAGCTTTAACTGAGTTTTTGATCTGTGAAAAGCTCCGAAGTTGTGTTTATCCCCAAATTTTTTATTACTCAGGATTTTGAATCTTCTTCTTTCATGTCTTAGCCCTCAGCCCAGGATCAGCACTGAAGGGCATTACTGGCTGACATTTCCTCTCGTTGCAAGGCTGCCGACTTGTGCAGACTGCAAAGATGTCCAATTCTGAACTCTTGTCCTGATGGTCCGTGGTTTACAAACCACATTTCTAGTTACAATAATGGAGTACAGAACCAGAAAGCAGTGCCCAATAGTTAAGGCTTCAGCTTCAATGCCAGGCTGACTTAATTCAGCTCCCTGCTCTGACAGTGCTTTCTTGCCTGTCTTACCATGGCCAAGAGACCCAGAATGCAATTCATATTCATGCTCTACAGTCCATGGAGAGAATGAGGTGTCTTCTTCAGATAAAACTCCCTCCAACTGTGTCTCTCTTTCTTGCCCTCTCCTCTGACTAACCTGGAAGCCTTGAGGAACAGCTTCAGTTCTGAACTTAGAGAAATAAAGCTAGGTGACATGAATTCCCGTCTCTGTCTCTAGTCCTCAGTCCTGTATCAGTGTAACACTTTCTTATCTCATATGGGCTTTTTAAGGTTAAGCAGATGAAAAGCAGCTATATTCAGACAGAATTTTTTTAGCTGAGTTTCTCTGCTTCATGTGAGTCATATCTCTTCACTGTAGTCATTGCTGATGGGTTTGACCAGAGACAAGGCCAGAACATGTCTGATAACATGGCCTCTGGGGCAGGTAAAAGGTAAACTGTATCCCTTTCTTTTGTGGTCTTATAACCCTGTGGTGGAAGGACTCAGCAAGACCCATGCATAGCTCTGAATTTTTTACCTAGGTGGGCAGTCAGATTTCCCTCTAAAGGTATGGATGCAGCTTTGGAGACATAGGTTGGATGTTTATAATCTTCAAGATAATGCACTGAAATTTATTTGGAGACATCCTAATGAAGATGGACAGATGAATACTTTTGTTTGAAGAGTGTAATTGATTCATGCATTATATCAAAACTTTGACTTACTTGATTCGCTTTATATTCTGAAATCTACTAGACTGTAAAAATGGGTTCCCATGGGCTTCAAAAATCTTAGGTGGTCTTGCTAGATCCGAGATCTCATGAGAACAAGTATTACTATCCAAAGTTGCTCTTATAATTATGACAACAGGCAGTGTACTATTGGAGCAGCAATGATTGTTCTGACTGAAATGTTGCTTTCCTACCTTACAGGGGAACAAGGGAACTTTGGTAAAATGAATTCCAGAAACCTTGGTCTTCCCTATGACTACTCTTCAGTGATGCACTATGGCGCGTAAGTTGTTTTCTGAAACGTCTTTTCAAAGGAGCAAACAGATTCCAAATCTCGGAAGAAGCAATTGCTCTGTGCAGGGAATTAATTTGCTGTTCATTTAAAATTGAGTGAATGGACATAATTAAGAGTGAGCATACCTCCTTTGTCAGTAGGAGTCCTGGAAAACAAGAATTGATGTGGATAGAAGAAAAACATAGGACAACATTTTCTTTCACTGTACTTCTGCCTCTTGCTAGTAGAAGCATTTGACATGGTCCAAAGTCTAACTGCTTTGAGTCACTGATCTAAAACTAATTCTGAAGTCTAAATTATTTCATTAATTTAGTAACAGCTGATCATAGACAACAACATTTAAGTATGGAGGCAAGAAAGAGGGATTTATTTTTTTATATCATTAAGATGATGTATGCTGCCCTATACTCATCTGGGAGCACTGTCTAAGACTGCATTTTAGTCCATAATGTACAAGCTTATATCATGTACCTTCTTTTTTATTTCCACAAGCAAGTAACAACTTCTGAACAAAGCTGAAATAAAACTTGCCTAGCAGAAGGCAGGAAATTGCAGGTAGTAGATAGGCAATTAGTAACTGAGACAGAACTACTTCTGCTCCTCTGCCTCAGGAACCAAGAATGTGGGATTCCGTTCATTTTGCCAGGACACTGGTGAACTCTCTTCACTCAGGACAGTGCAGATTTTTCTGCTCCCTTGCTTTCAGCTGCTGCACACAAATGGCTGCCATGCTGATCCTCTTCAGGGAAGACTAGATGGTCTCTGAGAAGCTTCTTGTCCTTTTCCATTCTGTTCATGTGGTACATGAATATGATTATGCAGTTAGAGAACTTCACTGTCTACGAGAAGTAATCTAGAAATGTGATTTCCTTATTCCTACAGGTATGATTTCTCCAGCACTCCAGGGAAACCAACTATTGTACCAGTTCCTGACCCCTCAATACCCATTGGGCAGAGAGAAGGACTGAGTAACTTGGATGTAGCCAAAATCAACAAGCTCTACAAGTGCAGTAAGTGCTGTAGATAGAAGGCACGTAAATCTTTATACAGCTGATGTCTGTAGGCACTGACAGATATCCCCCAAAGGAACTCAGCCATCAGTCCCTTCAATACATCTCTCCCTCACTCTACAAGAGGAAACAACTATCCCTGCGCCAAAGTGCTGCCTTCTTGGAAAGGACAATTTACTTTCAATAACTCACTGTCATTCTGAGGTATCCTCACCTAATCCCTGCTCTTTGACATAAGCAAAATCTATCAGAGAAATCACGGGTGCTACTTCTGTCAAATTCTAATTTCAGGAGAGCTCAGAAGGTTGCAAAGCATGTAACCTCTCCTCAGCCATGATTATAGCTTAGGGTCATGTGCCTCAGTAGTGCCAGCAGGTTTGTGACTTCTCTCAATTAGAAAATGACTGAAGAGCTGTAAGTATGGGTGCCATTCAGCATGATCAGAAACCTCTTTGAGGAGAAAAACACAGGCTTTTTGTATAGCTATCTAATTCCTTGCTCCATCCATTTCGTAACTCATCCCTGTGGTATTTTAAAGTCTAGAAATAACTAGCATTCCTCTGTAAGCAGGAACTCTTCAGCTGAGATGCACAAAACAGGTATAACATCATGTTCCTGCAATGCATGGGTTTTGCCTGAACTCCCAGTACACAGGCTAATTGATTTATATGGTATTTGACTTTTCTGGGATGTTATTCAATTAGTTTCCACCAAAACAGGAAGAAACATTAACAAGGCCTAAATATTAGTGTACTAAATTCTGCTCTGAATTGTATTAGAACTTAGTTAAATAATTAGAAGTTAGGAGGAAATGGCATTCCTTCATTTGGATAGTTAGGTACAGAAATCCTTGCAGAGTGATTCCTCCAAATCTTTAAGTTCAGATAAGACAACTTTACAATGGCTGTCATGGTCTCAAAGATAGTGATAACAAATATTTAACGATATTTATTCTTGACAGTGGGACTGGGAATGAATCACACTTCAATACCATTATTATGTAATTTCATAATTAGATTTGTATGTTTGGAAGAACTAAATTAATTAAAAAAAAAAAAAAGAGAGAAAAACTCAGGTGCAAAGCAAAAACCAAACACAAAAAGTCCAGTTGTCTCAGGAAAAGCAGGAAGCAAGAGAAAAATGTCATAAATTCATATGATCAGATGTCATATATTCATATTTTGTAATTTGGGGAGTTACACATAGTGCAAAAAATGAAGATGTGGAAAGATGAAAGACAGATGAGATCAGACTTTGAGTACCAGTCACTAGGTCTGTAGCTTGACTTCAGTGCTCTCTATTACTATTTTCCCCCAGTGACTACCCCTCTTTGATTTGACAGTATCTAGTTTTCAAGCTTGATTTTTGCACACACTTATAAATACACACATTTGCTGATGGGAATTAATATACTGATGTCATTGCAACTAGTTCTGTGATTGAGGTTAAGGAAGTTCACAAAAGATCCAGGCCTTTTTCAGTAAACTAAAATGTCAAAAGACTGAAGCTCTACTGTCTTTAAAAAAACCCCATTAGTAGCTGAATCAGATAAGTACTTTAACTACCTTTATTTCACTTGCAGTTTTTCGATAACTTTTACACTAGGAACATCAACACAATTGTAAGCATTATAATTCATTTCTCTTTTGCAAGCTTAACTGATGCAAATGGTTGGAGTGACTTGTCAGGCATTCCAGGAAAATTTTTGTGCAGTTTTCACTCTCTTCACCACTGTTTGGTTCTTCCCTTCAGATTGCTGTAGCTCTGTGCTGCCTAAATCCAAAGGCTCGTTCTCCTCTGTCAGTTACCCCTCTCCATATCCGAACAACAGCAACTGTCTGTGGTTGATCCGCATCCGTCGAAGTAAGGTAACTTTTATTAGGAGAAAAAAGGTTTGAATCACGGTGTCTGGGCTATGCTGCATTATTTCATTATCATGAGTACCCCCGGGAGCCAGTTTCATGAATCAAGACATTTACTTTGTTATGCAGTGAATGAAAGACAGTCTCAACAATTTTCATAAGACTTAAGACTATGAGATGCATTATTTAACTTGATTTTTATCCAGTTCAGATTGGATGGCTTTTCAAAGACAAGCAACAGTGAAACATCAATCTCCAGGGGCTCAGTAATAGGATAGCTAGGTGAAATTCTATGCTCTTTTAATAAAGACAGTAAAGTTTCAGTGACACATGGATAGTAAAATAAATATGAAGTTCTGGTTCACTTGATAACTGTTAGATGGTTTGAGGCTTTCTCTGTGTATAGCATTAAACCCAACATCTGCTTTCCTCTTTCTCAAGGTTTTCCTGCAGTTTGAGGCTTTTGATCTCCAACCTTCCTCAGACTGTTCTTCTGACTATATAAAAATTTACAACGGAAACAGCAGGAATTCCCCTGTCTTGCTGGACAAGTACTGTGGGAAGGGTCCACTGCCATCCTTAGTGGCATCTGGATCAACAATGCTGGTGGAGTTTGCAAGTGATGAGAGCATTGCAGCCACAGGATTCAAAGCCTCCTACAACAGGGGTATGAACACTCCTTTACAAAGTTTAGAGAACAGCATTAATATTATTTGTATGTAAGAATTTAAAAATTTTACTATATACTCCAAAGTAGGTCTCTTCTCTGTCATACCTTAGATTTTCCCAGCAACTGCTAACGCAGGAGGCCAGACAATGATGGGTCTGAAGGCTCACAGGAAACAGAAAATGGGATGTTGCATGGATCTCATGTTAGTAATCCTGAGATCCTACTTACATTCTTCTGAGAGCCTCTGTTAGGCTTCTTCATTTCTTTAATAATTCTTTAAATAAATTTCTTTAAATAAATGTCTTTAAATAAAATTTCTTTAAATAAAAACAATACAATGACTGTAATTAATAGGAGAGGTGCAGCCAAAGAGCACAAAGACTGCAGAACTCAACAAGAGATCTCAACCATTGAGATGTAAAGCTAGTAATCAGGCAAGACGTTACGCAAGGTTTTGTAGGATTTTATGCAACAGGAGAGGTACTGACCTTGGGTAACTTACACTTTCCAAATCAAAAGCTTTTATTAGGTACATGAAACACAGTGCTCACTGTAGCCACTTGAGGGGTGTCTGTTTTGCAAACACACAAATGCACTATGGACTGCCAGACAAAATTCTGTTGTGCTGCAGCACACTTTCAGTTAGGCAGTAGCCCACAGAACTTGCTGTTGCTTTATTTCAACTGAAAATCCAAACTTTTTTACAGCATAAATTGAAGAAGTCTTAGAAATGTGTCATTTTTACTCTTTTTGCATTATTTGATGGAGTCATTTTTAGAAAGTACTAGATCTAGCTTGATAATGCAATCTTGAATACTTGAGCTAATTCTTTTCTGAAGTGCAGGTAGTGCCATTAGAATGCTATGCTAATATGGTAACACTCAATTTTAAAGACAGATGCAGCTTTAGATGCAGCTGTTCCCTGTCCTCCAAAGGTTATTTATCAGATGTTTTTAAGTTCCTTCAGTACAGCTGCTGATACAAATATTAAGCTAAGAAATAAAATATTTCAGCAGTAGTTTTTCACAGTAGTACACTTTTTTCTTGGCTTGAAGAAATAATACAATAGAGTATATGCAAGCTCATTTCTACTGACAAAATGCTCTTGTCAATATGTCTTTCTCTGTTTTTCACTCTTCAGTGAATTGTGGAGCCACTTTCAGAGATTCAAATGGAGTCATCACTTCTCCAAACTACCCCAATAAATACCCCAAAAACAGAGCATGCTTCTGGATCATCAGTTCTCCAGTAGGATACAAGGTAAGACACATATGAATTCAGTTGGAGGTTTCATCACTGTTCTCTGATGAAACTATTTCCCTTAGAGAGTAAGAGCAGTAATGTCACTTTTTTGGTAGGCATTCTCAGAGTAAAAATCTGAAAGCAAAAATTCATTTTAAGAACTTATGTTGGATCTTGGAATCTGAAGTTCTCAGCAAGGGAAAATCTTTATACGTGCGTGTGAACTCTTAGGAATTTAGCTTGTGCCAGTAGGCTTTGTTTAAAATAATCCCTAAGTAAGAGTTCCCACTAGAAAACTCAAACATTGCATGCACAGGTGTTGTTTTTATATTTCTCTAGAGAAAAGAACATAAAGCATAGAGGATCAATCTTGTACCTTGCTTCTCCTTCCAATGCAAATACTGATGAACTAAGCAAATAATTTGCTACTTATTTGCATTGCCATATGGGATCAGGATGTGGTGCAACCACAGAATAGAAACCAGTGCCTGCACACAAGGAGTTTAGATTATTTGTCCTTGTTACATACAAAGGAAAAGAGAAAAGGCTGTAACCTGGAAGCAGAGTGCTTTCTTTGTATTTTCTCCAGATATCTCTTAAAATGTTATCCTTTGAGCTGGAATACAGTGACAGATGCACCTATGACTACTTGCTCATACATGATGGAAGCCAGCTTACATCACCTGCAGTTGGCCCTTACTGTGGGACAGAGAAGGTTGAAGACTTTACTTCCACTGGGAACTTTGTGCTGGTTGAATTTCACAGTGATATAGTTTGGGAGTTGCCTGGATTTGTGATGAGTTATACATTTGATAGGTAAGTACTATACAGATGGGGGTTGAAAAACACAGAATGAAAATAAGAGTCCAGCTAGCCAAAGGTAAAAGCCAAGATGCCACCAATTTCAGAAAAAAAATACAGCTCCTGACACCTTTAACAAGCTTGCAGCTTGATCTCTTAGTCATACATCTACAGTGGTGTAATTTGCATGGTGAATCATGGACAGAAATGTTCCTGCCCATGGGATGCTTCTGTCTGAGATTGTAGGCTTTTTGTTTTACTAATCCCACTGCTGGTGTTGCATGGCCAAATACAATAGCAGAGCTGAAACTATGTAGGCAGATTTTCAAGGAGTTCTAGTGGTAGAAACTGTGCCCATAAAAAAGTCCAGGATATGGCCATGTAGCAACTTTAGCCTGTATTCTGCTAAATGTTATTATCCACCCCTAATGTGCATTCCAGCATACATACAGGAAAACCTTCAGACACATTTATGCTTTGAAGCCAAGATCACTTACACAGTTCCTATAGGCACCTGAGCTTAGCCTGGAAATCACCACTTTACACTGAAGGTGCAAACTAGGATGTTTGTACAGCATCTCAACTCGAAGAATTGCACTAGTCTCTGTGAGATGAACCAGGTCAGGGAACAAATTTAACTAAGGAAACAGTTAGGAGTGGTAGGAACAAGCAGTGAGGGAGAGGAAATGGAGTGAAGCACCTTGTTGCCACTTTGCTGTGGCCTGAGTTGGGTATTGAAATTGTCCATGGGGTATTACCAAAATACTTTTTAAAAATGAGGCCTGAAAACTTAATGTAAAGTGCATTCATTGAATGTTCTCTTTGGAGAACATTTTAGGTGTGAAGTACCTTGTCTGTAGAGAAAAATCTTCCTCCTCTGAGGAGATGGCTGAAGAGGAGAAAGAAATCACCACCGTAAACAGCTAGCACTTTGCCTTGATTTGATGTATTCAGAATTAAATGCTAATGCCAAACTGAGAGATGCCAAAATGTAATAAATAATAAAAGGTTTTGCTGAAATTATGCCTTTGTGAAGAAGAGCACGTGGAAAATGCCAATTTGCTTTCATGGTGCTAGGAAGGCAGCCAAGAAAATTTTGAATTATGATGACATTTTTGTGTGTGTGTAGTTTTGGGGGTTTTTAAGGATCTGTAATGTCTTGCTTTTTAAGCACCAGGTTAATTTTCACCCACAGAGGTCTGATAATTGATAAATTATGGACATGAGGGTCTAGAGCTCGCTTGCATCATGGTAGGAAAGTGCATGCACAGCAGGCAACAAATATTTGTAGTTCTTACAAGTTCCTGTCTTCTGGTTATAAAAAGCATCCCTTCAATTAATTTGGCTCACTATTTAGATTGGCACCTTTTTGGAGAATGTAATAATTTCAGCAGCATGACAGAAAATTAAACTCTACTTCTATTTTTAACCTCAACTTCAGAATGTAAAAATGCTAATTCTTCTCCCTGAGTCTGGGGACTTTCATGGAGGTGCAAAAGTAATAATCCCGTGACAAGTCTGATTGTATAACAAAGTTGAATGGATCCCTATTTTAAATAGATAGTGCTGAACTGCTTTGTAACTTGAATATTACTTTAGATTCCCTTCCCATGGCCTGATGTGGGACCCTACATAGGTCCAATGTTTTAGATGTTCACTCATATTTAGTAAAAGAGTGTGAATAACATGTTCAAACAGCAATATACTACATATAGGAATATTGGTCTTGCAATTTGTTCCTAGAAATATGGCTTTAAGTAAATGTGGCAATATGAGTTGATCAGGGTGCTTTATTTGTAAGCGAGCTCTTCAACAGTAACAATGTAGAAACACATTCCTGAATGTACACACAGGCTGAAATATAACATGATGAATAAGTTCTCTCTTTCACAGAAAAGACTTTTCAGTCTGAGATCTAAGGTTCTGCTTTTAATGATTTCTGTTAGGGGTGCTTGCTAACGGCTTGCCTTAAGGGATATGCACATTAGCTGGAGCTTCTACACGTGCTCCAAAACACCTCCTGACCCTCCACAGACATCAAAACCTCTCATTATTTCTAAAATCTCAGGTTTCCTGACAGTAATCTCTACTTTAGTTATCCATTACTCATCTATAAATCTGTGGCCCACCAAACAGGAAAATCCAAGGTAGAAAACATCCTCATGAATGGCATTCTTCCTTTTTAAAATGATGGCCACTCACCTTGGCCCACAGTTGGTTGTGAATCAAAAATGGAGAAGCTGTAGGATTCACAAACCCTCCTAAGGGCTTAGGTGTAACCCAAATGCACAGTGTAAGGGGACTTGCATCTAACAGACAATAATCCTTCCACAACAGCCATTGCCCATATATATAAACATTGTATATAAGCTTGCTCTTAAGATTCATAGTCTGAGATGTAAGAATTAAGAGTAATCAGCCAGTAGAAACAATGAACAGTATAGCCAAAAGTTTAGGATTCAAATACCACCATAGGAAGATTTTCAGAGGTTCTAATGAAAGTTCAGCACTCACTCAACACACTTTTGAAATCCAACATGTACGAATTTAACCTTAAAAACCAGAAGTATCTAGCAGTGATGAATTTATTATTACCTTAATTGCGTACAAACCCAGATCTCTTTAAAGAGAGACACACTTCCAGAAGCCTGTGTGTGTGGAAGAAATAGGAGTGTTTGTGTCCAGATGTTCTGCTCTTACCTGCTTTGAGACTGTCCTGGTTCCTACGCGGGAGGCAAATCAGAGCCTTCAAGTGTTATGCTTTTGTAGTCTGTAAGAACAAGGAAAGAGATCTGTCAATTACTGCTGTAGGAGAAAAACAGCCTGGAATAAAGCACTACAGAAACACACAAAAATATACTATTCATAGGCCTTTTTTTGTGTTTAATTTAAAACACACGTCCCTTACATAATTAAGTAACTGTGGTTGAGATGACACTTGCATGACTACAACCCTAGTCATTGAATCATAGAATCATAGAATAGTTTGTGTTGGAAGGGACATTTAAAGGTTATCTTGTCCAAAACTCTGCAATGAGAAGTCATCTTCAACTAGACCAGGTTGCTCAGAGCCTTGTCCAACCTGACCTTGAATGCTTCCAGGGACTGGGCATCCACTGTTCAACCTGCTACAGTGTCTCATCACCCTCACTGTAAAAAAAATTCTTCCTTATATCTGGTCTAAATCAACCCTCTCTTAGTTTAAAACCATTTCCCTTTGTGCTATCACAACAGGCCCGGCTAAAATGCTTGTTCCCATCTCTCTTGTAAGCCCCCTTTAAGTACTGGAAGGCTGCAATAAGGTCTCCCCAGAGCCTTCTTGTCTCCATTGAACAACCCCAACTCTCTCAGCTTGTTCTCATAGGACAGGGGCTTCAGCTCCCCCAGTCATCTTTGTGGCCTTCCTCTAGACCTGCTCCAACAGGTCCATGTCTTTTCTGTGCTGAGGACTCCAGGCCTGGGCATAGTACTCCACGTCGGGGCATACTGCTCCAGGTGGGGGTCTCACCAGACAAAGCAGAGTCAGAATCACCTCCCTTGGCCTGCTGGCCACACTGCTTTTGATGTAGCCCAGGATACGATTGGCTTTCTGGGCTGCAAGTGCACATTGCTGGCTCCAGCTTTTCAACCACCAGTAAATACCTCAAGTCCTCGGCAGGGCTGCTCTCCTCTTTATCCACCAGCCTAGACTGATAGCTGGGGTTGCCCCAACCCAGGTGCAGGACCTCGCATTTGGTCTTTTGGAACCTCATGAGATTCAAAAGGGCTTACTTCTTGAGCTTGTCCAAGTTGAGCCCCATCTGCACCTTGGCCTTCCTGATCCCATTCCTATACAAACAGGCAGCAGCCCTGTGCTCTTCCCAGGATACCCTTTCCTGCTTCCACTGCCTGTGCATTTCCTTTTTGCCCTTTAGTCTCAACTCAACCATGCCAGTCTCTTGCCTTCTTTTTCTGATTTCTTACACCTGAGGATCAAGAGCTCTTGCACATTATGATCTAGATCTTAAAGATCTACCAGCTTGGTTCTGGTCCCTTGTCCCAGAGGGCAGTTTCCCAAGGGTCCTATTAACTAACTCCTTGAAGACCTGGAAGTTTGTTTTCTGAAATTCAGGGTCCTGACTTTATATCTTGCCTGATCCATATCACTCAGGACTGCAAATAATGTCTGACAGAAAATAAGGGCAGCTTTTGATAGGCTGTTATACAGTTGGTTCCTCATCTAATAGAAGAAAATGAGCCTGTTGCAACAGCAAGAGAGTACTGAAGCTCAGTTTTCAATTTCACTGTGCTGATGATCTCCCTTATTCACCACACTGAACTGCAAGGAGAAACATTACAGCCTGGGAGACTTAGTAGGCAAATGGTCACATTTTTACTTAATTTAAACTTTTTCAGACTCAAAGCTTTATTTCTAGATGTGTTCCATTCAAGCCCCAAGATTATCAAGGGCAAGTCTAATACGCTGGGGCAGTTTCACAGCAAGTTAGAGAAGAACACAGCCTTTGCAGCTATAACTATATAGGACAGAGAATGTACAACTTACTGTGCAACAACTGAGTTTGGCAAGGAGAAGATACATGAACCAAAGAGCATTTAATCTCTCCTGGACTTCAGACAGAAATTGAAAACCTTACAGGCTAAGTTGTCACATAGGATTTTATAATCGAGTTTGCTTTATCATGGGAAACATCAGCGCGTAAGAGAAGAAATAAAGGAAAGCTGCTGCTGTTCTGTTGCCAAATGGCTTTTGATGTAGGAACTGGAGAACTGCGGGGGCCGGGCCCCCTCTGGCGGACACCTGCAGGAGAACCAGAACTGGAATGGGAATGTGTCGTACCTCTCCAGGCACGGGACAGTGAGCTTTGCTCCTGCTCTGGTCACGGCGCTCAGTTCCATCCGGCAAATTCAGCCGAGGCGCTTCTCAACAAGGATGTTCAGTGTCTCTAACTAAGTCGCTCCCTCCCGTGCCCCTGTGTTGGTGCTGCTGTCTGGATAGGAAGGTTCTTTGGGTCACTGTATTTTTGTCTTAAAGAGCGGCACTCCAAATTTAACCTGTCAGTCGGTAGGTTGCACTATAACATTAAGATTCAAACTTCCTCTTCTCTTTTTCCATTGATCAGCTCAATAGCAAAGACAATGAAGTCTTTTATTTGAGTTTACATTTGTCCCGATTCCCTGCTTTATGCCTACGATACGTGGAGTTTCCTTGTGGTCTCCAGCATAATTGCTGGAGAGGTGCAAAGTTTAGCTTTCAAGTTTTATATAGTTGTCTTTCCAGTGTTTTTTTTAAAAATAACCAACCAAAACCAAACAAAAAAACCAACCAACCAACCAAAACAAAAAGTCAAAAATAAATCAAAAATACAAATCGAGAGGGGAAACCTCCATTGTGGTTTTTTTTTCTTTAGATTTAGCTTTGTTCAGGTATTAACGAGTCTTACTTCCTTGAATAAATCAGCTTCCTAATTTGTGTAGGTTTTTTCAATGAGGACTTACATATTAAACAGAAGAGAATGCAAAATGCACCTGCAAACCCACGCGGTTAGCAGGATGATTCATGGTACACTCAGTAACTCTTTCTGGAAACGCTGCAGAACGTTCCCTTCTGAGGGCACACGGACCAGCACTGGCAAGGATGGGCTGGAGATAACCGGAGTTTTGCAATTCAGTCGATTCTTGCTGTTCTGAACCAGGATCTCACCACAGCTTTACGGCAAAAAAAGACCTCAAAAAATAGAGTAACTGGGGGACAACCCTGTCAGCATTAGAGAAGTCACTTTTTTGTCTAATTAACACCCACGGCTCATGTCCGCCGGGCCATGGCGCTGAGGGCGGGGCAGAGCAGCGGCACCAGACTACAGGTACCACAATGCATCGTGCGGCGATGGTGGCCTGGGTGGCGGCCCCAGCGGCCCGGCATTGGGACCGTGCGGAGCCCTGGGCAGTGTAGTTTATCTACGGAGAGCTGCCCGCCGATTGACGCCGGGAATGCGGGGTGAGGGACTACAACTCCCATCGGGCCTTGCGCTGCCATCTCGGTGTGTTGGGGACGGGCGGGCGCTCTCCGCGTCTCCCCATTAGTGCCAGCCCCGCTCGCCGCCGACCCTCGGGCCTGAGGCAGCCAAGGGACGGGGCGGGGGGGACCATGGAGCTTGGCTCAGCGGGGGTGCAGCGCCGCGCCTGAGGCTGGGTCGCGCCTCCGATAGCGCCATGGACAGCCGGTGCTATGGATGCGCCTCCAAGTTTTCTGTCTTCAAGAAAGAGGCAAGTCCGGCTGCGGGGGGTCAGGACCGGCCGTTCCCGCGGGTGACGCCCCCACAGTGCGAGGGTCTGAGAGGGGAACCGGGAACCGCCTCGCCCTGCGCCGAGACAGCTTCCCGGGCAGCATCCCGGCGTTGTTGTCCTTGCTTACTGAGCTCTTGTGGTGCCTAGTTGCAATCTGTCTTTAAATAAAAAAAAAAAAATTAAAAAAAAAAAAAAAAAAAAAACAGAAAAAAGAGGGGAAACTCTAATCCCGCATTCGCTCATTGTCTCAGACAATTCCCATGCACACACTTTGTTATACTATGGGATGAAGTGGTGACTCAGCTCCCAGCAGGAGTTACGTGCTGGTTCTCGAAAGTCTCCGTATCTTCATCAGCAGCTGCTAATACAGTTCTCTGACAAAAAATCAGCACAGCCCCAGCGTTGTTTTGTGTGTGCCTTGTCACGGGCACTGTGCCTGCGTGCGGCCGGGCAGGGCGGTGGGGGTGACTGATGACGGGGTGGTGAAGCCCTGCCCTGCCCCTCTCTCTGTCTCTGCAGTGTGGCTGCAAGAACTGCGGACGGTCCTTCTGCTCGGCCTGCCGGAGCTTCACTGCTGTTGTTCCCCGCTGTGGAAACACGCAGCAGAAGGTGTGCAAGCAGTGTCACGAAAAACTAACTGGGTAAGGCGTGAGTGTTTCTTCACCCAAAGACAGTTTCCTGCTTTGTATCTTCAGTTTACATCCCAGTGTTGCAGATTTATGCATGAGAGCTGTGCCTTCCATTTGTGCATGGATGCTGCCTGTACCCTGGTGTTTCAAGCCAGGCTGTTTCTGAACTATTGTTTTATGAGTTGTGTAGTCCAAAGATAGGAATCAGGATTTGTGCCTGTTTTCTGTTATGACAGAGTAGTCAGAAAGAACCAGGTTTAAAACTTCACGGAAGGACACAGAATTACTGTGGACATCTTAGCTACCTGAGCCCAGGTTAAGCCCAACTGTAGTTTTGCCCAGAAATCTACACCCCTCTAAAAGCACTGCCAGTCTTTTCAGAAATGTAGTAGTTGAATGGGCTGACAATAAGATGTTCAAAGCGTTATTACCTCTGTGGGCAGTGACGCAAATCCTCAGTGTTGAGGGATTTCTGCTATGCGCAGCCTGAAGATTTAAAATTTTGTAGCATAAAATCAGTTTGCTTTTCAAAGAAAAAAAAATTTGCAAACATAACTTTTAGATTGCTTGTTGAAAACAAAAAAAAAAGTAATTCAGAAGCAGCATGGGTTATACATGTGAACAAGTTAACACAAGAACACAAGTGTATACCAGAATCCCTCAGTTAGCCAATTCTTTTGTGTCCTCTTCCTTCTTTTGCATTTCTCTTACTCCTCCACTTCTCTTAGATAGCTAGGAATTTTCACCAATTAGTGGGAAATTTTCTGGCTCTGCAGGTGTCTAAAGGAGAGGAGCCTCTCATTAGCTAAGGTCTTCATCTTCACTGGCTCATGGAAACAGTGAAATACAGTATTCAG